AAAAACTTTTGGACGATTGGATAAAAAATAATTTTTATAGAAATATATTTAAGAAAGCTGATGAAGATGCTAATAAATCTGAACCTAAGTCTTTAGAAATTGCCCATTTAAATACAATAAATACAATGAATATCTACCAATACCAACTAATAAAACGTCTAAATCCTTCAAGTTCGGATATTATTTCTCAGAAAAGTATTTACGAATTGTTTAGTCCAGATTCTATAGACTAAAAATTGTCGAGTAATCATACTTATACTACTTTAGTATCCTATTTTAATAAATTTAATTACCAATAGTTTTTTGGTTTGCAATTAATCGAGTAGAATCATATGTTTTTTATTATTATCATTGGTATTATTCTTACATTTCCTATTTGGTTTCTGTATTAATGATAGATTCTGATTAGCTTGTAAATTCTATTATTTCATTTATTTATAAGGTTCTTTTAAAAAAGAAAGTCATGCTAATTTTTTGGGAAGTTTTCTTAATCTTCCCTTCTTTTTTGGGTATATTCATTGTATCATTTTATGATGTGAATTGGTATTCATTTGTTAGCTTGTATTGATTTTCTTATGTGAACTACATAGAATTTCGGGAAAAACCACTTAGTATTGTATTTAAATCTAAACTTGGTATTTCAATTTGCTCAATAAGGTCGCATTATGTTATATAGATTTATTTTATTTTTTATTTTATTTATGGTTGCCTATTATTGATGTTTTTAAATAAATGTTATTAGTAATCGATAATTAAATCTTCAAATTGAAAAATGTTTGGATTTATTTCGGATACTTATTTTTATTATTTAACATAATTTGTTTATTTTAATGCCTATTTATGTATTCTTAATGTTTTAATTTGTCAAGCCAGTGGTATTGTTGTTAGATTATAAATGTATATTAATTTATATTTTATTGAATATATAAATATTAATCCATTTATTAAGCATATTTGATTCGTAATAGTGTTTCAATCCTATTTTAGATAGGCTATCTGGATTCTAAAACAGTTTTAACAATTAGCAATTACTCAATTTTTCCGGCTAATAATGTCTTACATTGTGGATAAAGCTTATCGATTTATATTTTGATAGTATTTAAGAACCAGCCTAAGCTTCGGAAATATAAGCAATAATGTACTATTTTGTATTTATCAAATTTAGCTAGAATGCACTAGCTTATAAACTTAAAAATTATTCCCAGTGGTTTGACTTTTTGGTTATTTCAATCCCGAAAATCACTCATTATATAATTAGAAATTCAAAATACTTTCCAGGTTTCCTGATTTTTAAAGATTTCGCTCTAGTCTAATTTTTAAATTTTACTCAAATTTACCGATTCTCCATATAGGTGAACCTATCTAATCATGTACCCGGAAACGGCGAGTCTGTCGCTATATCGAAAGGAGGTCCGTGTAACCAAAATTCCGGTTACGTAGGGTCGAAAGAGGCGTGTTAGATTTGGATGAGTGGTTAATAAACGAATGTATGTAGTTTATTATTATGTTAGGTACTTTATTATTAGGTAAATCGGGTGTTAACTATCTACTCTCATTTTCGAAGGGCCGGCCAGAAGGCCTTTATTTATAATTAACTCACTATCTATTTTTACATACAGAATACGCCGATTTCCCAGAATTACCCTTATTACTGTAATTATTGTAATTATTTATTCCCGCTTTTCAAGAATTCACCGAATTTCATAATTCCGGAAATTCCGAAAATCCCTGGAACTCCAGCGGTAAACCCAAATTTGGAATTCCCGGGTTACGCGGGCACGTGCCTGCGGTCAGGTCACGTTTCCGGTCTCACAACGTGATCGCTGTTAAAATTCGATTAAGCTTGAGAGCCATTTTGATTAACATGAAACAAAATCATATTTTTCAAAAGAAAATAATCCATTTATGATTAAAAGAATTTATTTAAGCACTGTAAATATTGAATCGGATTACATCTCAATTGGGATATTTTCATGTTTACGAATTTAAAAACATTTTGACATTCAAGTTCTATTTTTCAAAGACGCTATTTAAACACAAATATTCAGCTCAAAATCTTTAACATTAAAATAATTTATCTTTCAGATGCTGTGATTCTAAATCGATTATTTTATTCACTTGTGCATTATTAATTATGCCTTTAATATTTTTAATATTTCTTTGCCTTCACAATATAAAGCTTGCGACTTTTGTTATATTTAATATATATTTAAAACATAACATAGTAAGCAATCAAAACGTAGATTCTTTTACTATTTTGCAGGCTTCATCATTCGATAAGAAGAACAGAGATAATGTAAAATGTATAGCCCTTACTTAGAAAAGATTATATTCAGAAATAAAGAAAATTTCATATTAAAATACTAACATATTTATCATTATGAATGACCGTACTTGAGTACCTAATTTTGGTGGCGATACAAGGTGTGTCCATATTCTGTAGGTGTAAAAAGTCGTTCACATTTTTACAATATTATAGCACGGAAGACAGTTTGGCTATTGTGACACAGTAGCTGGTTTTTGTTATTCACTATATAAGGTAAGTATGTACGTACCAATTTAGAGATTTCATAATTACACCACATAATAATATGCTGTGTAATTTTTTGTTCTTTTTTTTTTCCTTTTTTTTGCACTTTTAAATTTCAAATAAATAATCACTTGAATTTGTAAATAAATTCGAAAGTATAGCAATAGATAATGGCAGCGTCAAAGTCAGCTGCGTATGACAATATTATTAATCTTTTATTAATTGGAGATCCAGGTTAGCATATTTATAATTTATCACATTGTATTCAATGTAAATGTCGCTATCGGAAATTTAATCCTGCAAAATTAGAACTCTAAAGTATATAAAACATTACTTACAGGTCTTTTGTTTTGCGTCACTCATGAAATAAAATTTTTTTATTGCATAATTAAAATTTTATTTTTAGCCGTTGGCAAATCAAGTTTATTGCTACGTTTTTCAGATGATTCTTTTAATCCTAATTTTATTGTCACAATTGGAATCGACTTTAAAATTAGAACGATTGAATTAGACGGAAAAGTAATCAAGCTCCAAATATGGGATACTTCAGGCCTGGAGCGTTTTCTCACTGTAACAACAGGTAAATTTCTAACTTATTGATTATTATTTCTAAACGGTCTTTATAACTGTTTCTCTTGCTTGTCTAATGTTTTTATGCTTTTATAAATAATGTTCTATCTAAAAGCATATTATCGTGGTGCAATGGGTTTTCTATTGGTATATGATGTCACCGACGTAAGATCTTTTAATAGTATCCTTTTTTTTAAGGCTATACTTTATATAAAAGGTTTGCTATATAACGTGTTTTATTATTATTTTTGATTATTATTTTATGATTAACTAGACATAAGAAACTGGGTTTCGCTTGTGAAGCAGCACGGTAGTGAAGGAGTCAATATTATCCTTGTCGGGAATAGATGTGATTGGGTTGAAAAAAAGGCAAATCTTTTGTAATTAAACAAATATTTCAAAGAATTCGGCTTAAAATTTACTAATGTAATTTTCAGGCAATCACTAAAGAACAAGGTCAAGCACTTGCAAAAGAGTTTAACGTCAAATTTCTGGAAACTAGTGCCAAGGCTAACATCAACGTTGAAGAGGCATTCATTACTTTAGCCAGGTTTGTAGTTACATTACATCATTAACCATATATTTTTAATTTTATATTTAATTTTAGGGATGTTAAAAAGAGACTCATAGATCCACCGGGGGTAAATATATAACATTTAAATAAATAAAAAAAATAAAATCTGTCTAATGTTTTTATTACCATTCAGGCGTACGCTCTTTATAAAGGTGATATCCATCTAAGCAGATACAGAGTTGAGAAAAATGAGCTTGAAGCACATAATGCATTCACTTATTACCAAAAATCGGCAGATATGGGAAATGCTAACGGAATGTATCAAATTGGCCAATGTTATCAAAA